AAAAAAAAAAAAAAAAAAAAGAAAAAAAAAAAAAAAAAAAAAAAAAAAAAAAGAGCGGAATGAGTCCGGATCATCACAAATTAAAAATAAAAAAAAAATCCTAAAAATGAAAAAAAATAGGAGGGACCTGCGCGTGTGGGTCGCATCCTGTGTTAGTCTGAGGGATTCAAGCGTCTATGTAGTTCGAGGCATGGTTGTTGATGTGGTCGAATAGCAATATAGACGATCTCGTGCAGGGAATGTCACACCCAAATAAAACTCGTACAGGCGGTTAACAGGGCCCTATTAAGTCACGCACACGCACACACACACGGACGCATACTTTCTCTCTCTCTCTCTCTCCCTCTCTCTTTCTCTCTGTCTCCGTCTGGCCGGGTTGTTGGTTGGTTTACATGAGTTAGAGGTGTCTGCTCAGACACTTTGGGCTTTGGTTGTTTTGCGGTGTGGCCGACTGGGAAAGGAGCTGATTTGCCAATTGCAGGTGCAATTACAGCCGAATGTGGGCCACCGGGAATGCAGACGCACCCCCGTTGCCACAAGTCCTTCTGACTACTTTATGCAATTAATTTCCAGCAGCACAGTTGCGAATACACAGAGTCAGAAGACAAGACACAGCCCACAGCAAAGACACAGCAACAGCGCACAGCGCACAGCTCAGCGCCGCCGTCGCGTGCGCCTGCTTCCCCACGGACCGCCACATCCCCATATTCACCGGGCATGGCGGAACAGGCACAGGGAGGGCAAGGGCAAACGGCGCCGCAAGTGCAGCAAAGTGTGGTGACGACGGTGTCCTCGGCACCGCAGCAGTTTCATCAAGCACAGGGACCGGGACCTCAGACGCAGTTGCAAGCGCAGCTGCCGCCACAGACCAGCAGTGCGTTCAGCTCCGCCAACATCTCACAAGCGCCACTGCTGGCTACAACACAGGCCAGCGGCGGACCACAAGGCGTGGCATCGAATGCTGGGCTGCCGCCTGCTCAAACATCAGTCGCAGGTCAAAGCAGCACCGCACATCCGGTTTCCAACACGCCTGTCGCCATGATGCCCTTCTTTCCTCATGCGACATCAGCCCCTTCAACATCTACTGCACCACCATTCACCACCACAGCAAGCACGATGGGGCAGAATCACGCGCTACCAAGCATGAGCGTGCCTATGACGTCTGCTGCGCCCACGACTACCGCGCCTGTGCCAGTCACAACAATGCCTGCTGCTTCAAGCATGAGCGTGCCAATGACGTCTGTTGCGCCCACGACTACCGCGCCTGTGCCAGTCACAACAATGCCTCCTCCTTCAAGCATGAGCGTGCCAATGACGTCTGCTGCGCCCACGACTACCGCGCCTGTGCCAGTCACAACAATGCCTCCTCCTTCAAGCATGAGCGTGCCAATGACGTCTGCTGCGCCCACGACTACCGCGCCTGTGCCAGTCACAACAATGCCTGCTGCTTCAAGCATGAGCGTGCCTATGACGTCTGCTGCGCCCACGACCACGGCGCCTGTGCCAGTCACAACAATGCCTCCTCCTTCAAGCATGAGCGTGCCAATGACGTCTGCTGCGCCCACGACCACGGCTTCTGCGCTTCTAATCACCGCAGCATCCACCGTCCCGACAACCGCAACATCAACACCACCCGCCGCAACACCAACCACACCGATGACGACCACCGCACCAACCACCACCGCAACACCAATCATACCGTCCACCATCACAACATCATCAACAACAACGCCCACGATGGCCGCCACGCCCGTCTTGACAGTGTCGCCCCATCCACAATCGAGCACCACGCCTGCAACGTCTGCAACACCACCCACCACAACAGCTCAGCCTGTGATGGCGCAACCAACACCACCCACGCCACCATTCCCCTCGTTTTCACCGCCCGCTGTACCAACTGCGACCAGCACAGCAGAGCAGACCCAAGCAACAAAAACAGCAGCAGCAGCAACAACAACAATGACGACAGCTTCAGGCCCTACCACAGCGCAGCAGCAGTCTGCCGCTCTCCCACCAAACCAAGCTGTGACAACCACGGCAGGCGGCACCTCCGCGCCACCGCCATCATCAAGTGCAGCCATGACGCCTGCTCCGCTGCCAACGGCATCAATCACAACTTCTCAGGCATCGTCAACCCAGCAGCAACAACAGCAGCAGCAGCAGCAGCAGCAGCAGCAACAACAACAACAACAACAACAACAACAACAACAACAACAACAACAACAACAACAACAACAACAACAACAACAGCAGCAGCAGCAGCAGCAGCAGCAGCAACAACAGCAGCAGCAGCAGCAGCAGCAGCAACAACAACAACAACAACAACAACAACAACAACAACAACAACAACAACAACAACAACAGCCTGCACTGCAACACAGCACGTCCTTATACAACAAATGGCCCTCACCAACACCACCGCTGCACATGGACACAGCAATCCGACACGTGCAAGAGCTGCGGCAACAACAGCGTGTTGACACATCGCCAAACACAACACTGCCTGCAGGCATGGTGCAGTCTGATCCCGTCTGGTCCAGAGACGGCTGCTGCGCCTACACCAGCCACAGGTGAGACATGCCGTTTGTCGCTGTGTGCGTATGTATGTATGGGTGCTGCTTCCACCTCTCCTCTGTCGTGTTTGCGGTGTGCATGCGTTTGTCTTCCATTGCGCAATCCCAATCGCATGACAACGTGCCCTGCTTGCACGCCCTTACAGCGGTCAGCCCCAGGCGACGACGAAGATTGTGCTCATCTCCGTGTTCAGCAGGGACAGCGTTGTGTAAGTGTTTCGTCTGCAGCGCAGTGTGTTGATGTTGCCTGCATGCATGGCCCTCGATTTGCTGCACTCACACGCACATCCGCAGGTGTGTACAAGTGTTGCTCAATTTTCCTTCCTTCACGTGTGTATTCACTCACGTGTGCGTATTCGTGCTTTCTCTTCGTCTTCAACATCGCCTTGCATGGACAGAATTGACACTCGGATCACGGCACGGTGTACTGCTTTGAGGTGTGTACCCATGCACCCGTGCTTGTTCACACGCTGATGCAGCACGGCAGTCACATCACCTCGTGCCATGTCGTATTGGAATGTCATCACGCTCGCTCACTCACTCACTCACTCACACACACGCACACACACACACTCTCTCTCTCTCTCACACTCATTCACACACTCACTCACTCACTCACTCACACACTCACTCACTCACTCACTCACTCACTCATCCACACACTCACTCACTCACTCATTCACACACTCACCCACTCACTCACACACACACACACACTCACTCACTCACTCGCGCACTCACTCACCACCCTTGTTCGTGTGCAGCTGGAACGGCCACCAGACAGGCCTGCTGCTCGTGTTTGACAGCGGACTGTTGCAGTTCTGGAAGACAACCGACGTACGCAACCCATCCTGCAATCTTAACGCGTGTGAACGAAGAGTGTGAATGGCAACCATTGCTGGATGGCGAAGTGTGGGTGGTGCGTGGCATTCTCTCATCTGCTGCACGTGTTGTTTCATCGAATACAGCACCACAGCACCACACTGCATCCTTCCATCTCACATGCTTGTGCCGTGCACACACGCCCCTCCTCTCTCCACATGCGACAGGGCACCATCAACAACCTAGCGCTCGTGTGCTCGAAAGAAACATCGTTGTCCTCCACCATGTTCGTGACGGAGTGCCCGCCTGCTGCACCCGCCCCACGCCGCGATGCACCCGAGCCAAACGTCGCCACCGTCAACACCCCGCTCAAGAAGGGGTGCGACGTGTGCGTGTGTGTGTATGCGTATGCGTGCGCGTATATGCCTGTGTGTGTGTGTGTGTGTGTGTGTGTGTATGTGTGTGTGTATGTGTGTGTGTGTGTGCATGTGTGTGTGTACAGCAACCCCCCCCCCTGCGCTCTCCTTGATGCTCATTTCGGCTGTGTTGTCATCGGCTTATACTCCACCTCACCACCGCGTCTCATCCGCCGTCACCTCGGATGCAGGGCTGATCTGCTGTCAACGCTCGGGTGCCGTGCGTGTGTGTTCCCGCCATCACTCGATGTCTGGCTCGTCTTCACCGCCAAGTGGCACATCGGCATCATCACGTTCCATCAACCAAAGTCGGTGTCTGTCTGAATGCACATGCGTGTGTGTATGTGTCTGCGCGCGTGTGTCTGCGCGTGCGAGTGTATGTGTCTGTGTGTGTGTGTGTGTATGTGTCTGTGTGTGTCTGCGCGTGCGAGTGCCTGTCCGTCTGTTTGTTTGTCCTTCTGTCCGTGATTGCGAAGCTTGCCTCATGCATGCCTTCACCCACACACGTTTTGGCTTCAACTCATCCCTGTTTGTGCGTGTTGCCAACGTACTGCCGCCATTCGAATCCTCAGCGAACCGCAACGGTGGAAAGCGAGAGAGCACACGTGCGTGGGCTGTTGTGTGTGAACGTGTGTGTGTGTGTGTGTGTGTGTGAGTGAGTGAGTGAGTGAGTGAGTGTGTGTGTGTGTGTGTGCGTGTGCAATGCTGTGTGTGTAATGGGGAGTTTATGACTGTGTGATTTTGACAGCATCACTGCCCAGCAGCCCACGCCATCACCCCCACCATCCCATCAGCCAATTCACTGCCCTTCATGCTGCTGACATCCACTCACCTTTTTCCGCGTGACTGGACGGTTCAGCCGTGGGGAGCTGTACATATCCACGCATCTCCTGCTCAAGCTGGACGAGACCACCCGAATCATCGCTGCAAACGGCGCCATTTTTCCAAGTGTGCTCCGCGTGTCTGTCTGTGCGTGTGTGTGTGTGTATCTGTCTTGTCTGTGTCTGTGTCTGTGTGGGTTTTTGTGGGTTTTGTTTTGTGTGTGTTTGAGAGAGAGTGTGTGTGTGTCTGTCTGTCTGTGTACGTTTGTGCATGTGTGTCTGATGTTGCCGTGTTTATTGCCGTTTGCTGATTGTTGCAACTTGCCACTTACTACCTGCCACTGTCTGCGCGTCCCCCTCGTTGCGTGATTTGTCTGCCAGGTGGAAAGGGCCTGTGCTCAATGGTGTACGTTGAGCGCGGATGCACGTATCATCTCGTCACGTCCATGGACGTCGTGCACAATCCGCAGCAGGTGCGCCCATTCCCGTACGCAATGCTTGCTCGCATACGGAAGTGCACACGCTGATTTCGCAATTTCGCAATGCGATATCGCTTATTTTAATTCTTGGCTGCACTTCCCCTCACTCCGCTTGCACACACATACACACACACATACACACACATACAAATACACACATACATACACACACACACATACAAAACAAAATCCACAACCCCCCCCCCCCAAACGCACCCACGCACACACACGTCCTTACAGCCTGAGGTGTGCAGCATTATGAATGCAAACATGCTGGTGTCTCCTGTTGCCATGGGCGCATCCGAGCAGCTTCGCGCCGCCAAAGTTCAAATCGACCGCGACGCACGCGAAGACGGCTTTCGCGTCTTCGTCTCGCTCTCGTTCGGTCTGTAGTGTGTGTGTGCGTGTGTTTGCATGTGTTTGCATGTGTTTGCATGTGTGTGTGGCTGTGGCTGTGGCTGTGGCTGTGGCTGTGGCTGTGGCTGTGTCTGTATGTCTGCATCCCTCGTCGTCTCTCTGTGTGTATGGAAGTGCCTTTGTCCTTGCTCCAACGGGTTCACTGCCTTAGTGTCTGTCCTCGTCACGAAGCTCTTGGTCTCATCACACCCCCATGCCTCCTCCTTCTGCCAATACAGGCTCTTGCCTCACCACCTTCGCCGTCCTCGTGGCCCCACAAGTGCGCATACGCGTGGATGTGTTCGTGGACGATGTGTGTCGCGTTAATGTCGAACATCCATCCCCTGTCCGCATTCCAATTTCACCTCTCACACATTCACACACGCGCACACACACACGCACACACGCACACACACACCCGCGCGCGCGCGCTGAATTCTTCAACAGGCGTACAACGATGTACAGCACTCGCGCTTGCTTCTTCTCCCCGCATCGCACGAATCGCACATGTGTTTGACCCCAAGCGGAGTCAGCACCTCCCTTGGTCTCAATTACATCCATCTCTACGATGTGTACGTGTTCCTATTTTGTGTGTTTGCACGTGTACACGAGCCTTCGCATGCATATGTGTGTGCGTGCGTGTGATAAGAGAGAGTGTATCTGTGCCTGTGTGTATCTGTCAGTATGTGTATCTCGGGGTGTGGTGCACGCACGTCGTTGCCATGATGTGACCCAGATGCCTGCTTACGCATGCACACACGCATTCGTACGCATTGCAGGTTGGACAAATCAGAATCATGCCAGACGATCATCCTTGGGGACGATGATGCAACCAAATGGCATCACGTCACCACGCTTCAAGGCATCGATCTGCCTTCATCAGATGGTGAGAGGCGTTGGGATTGCACCTTTTGCATTGCTCGTACGCGCAACCACCACCCTTTTGCTACATAGCTCTCTTCATGTGGGCACTCACACACTGACACTCACACACACACACACATACTCACTCACTCACACACACACACACACTCACTCACTCACTCACTCATTCACTCACTCACACACACACACACACTCACTCACTCACACACACACTCACACACACAAACTCACACACACTCACATACACAACACAAACTCACACACACGCGCGATGCATTTTCCTGCGCGTAATGCACAACCAACCCCTGATTCCACGTGCATGCATGCCTCGCTCTCTCCCCACCAGACCAAACTTCGGGCGACCAGCCGTCCAAACGCTCAAAGCGAATGCCGTTTCATGATGTGTGCACACTCAGCGTCGCGAACAACGGAGGTGGGCCTCTTGTGCTTGGTTGTTGTTGTTTGCTTGGCTGGGTTGTGGGTTGTGGGTTGTGGGTTGTGGGTTCGTTTGATCGTGCGATGGTGTGCAAACAATCGTGCTTCTACCAGCGTTCAAGTCACACCCTTGCACACGTGCTCATCAACCTCCATTATGGCGTTGGTGCCGATGTGTGCACAGGATGCATCCTCATCGTTCGCTCAGACGGCAAAGTCCAAGTCGCCTTCAAGCAAGCTCGAAACTGTACGTGCAAACGAGTCTGTTGCATTCGTATGTGTGTTGTGTGTTTTTGCACACGTGTGTGTTCATGCGTGCGTACATGTGTGCATTCGCCTGGCACGTTCTGTTCACTGCCCTCCATCCTGCTTCTCCGCCATCATTTTGTGGAAACGCTTCAGGGACGCTGGTGGCGAATGCCATGGTGCGCTCACTTGGGAACGACGCCACTGCACAAGACATCACGCCCCTCATTGGGTGAGCAACACCTGCTGTGCTGCGGCGGCGGTGATGAAGAGATGCGCTGCCACACAATCACTACTCACTTCGTGCTTCCTCCTCACCCCACTCATATCACACGTCCACAACCATTTCGCTCACCACCACCACTCATCGCCACGGCCACGGACCAGCCTGGAGCGTGAGCTGGCAGAGTCGAGTCTGCTGGTGGCGCAGCGCGTGGTGCAGATCTCAAACGTCATCGCGCACCATCAACACGCCCTCTACCGGCCCCGATTCGCCCGCATCCTCTCAGCCATTCTCCCGTGAGTGAACCCGCGTGTGCTGTGTGGCCGCTGCTGTCTTGGTGCTGTGCTGCAGTGCAAGATCATGCGAATTTCCCCCGAGTTGATCGTGACCTCACCCTCATCACCCTCCACCCTCCTCCTCCTCCTCCTCCTCCTCCTCCTCCTCCTCCTCAACAACTACTTTGTTGATGTTGGTGGGGATGATGGACGGCGATGATGACAGCAGTGATGATGATCAGTGCTCTACCGGCGAAGCAGCAGCTGCTACACAGCAAAGTAGTAGCAGCAGCGGTGCTCCCGACAGTAGCATAGCAGCAGCAGCACCAGCA